CAAAATAAATTTCTGACAAAAAAAATGTAACATGCACGTCTCGTTTCCATCAAATAGTTATTGAAGTCAGAGTAATATGACATTGAAACCACAAATCACTTAGTTAAAGACAGAATTTTAAATCACAAAGGAAAATAAGAGGGCGATACATCACAATTCAAACTACAAGTCACTTAATTGCAGAGTATTAAATCACAAATGGTACTCTCTCTCTCTCTCTCTATATATATATACACATAGTATATACGGTCAAAATCACAAGTTATCAAATTCTAATTACCTTTTTTCTTTTAAAAAATTGAGCTTTGCAATAATTGATCATAGCTAGGGAGGGAACTTAGTTAATGAATTAAGTTGTTGAACTCAATAAACTTAAGCTATATACATATATATATAGAGACCTTTTTTTTTTTATTTTTTAAATTGTAGAAAACCCTCTAAACTTTCAAATTCGATCGTACAGCTATAAAAATCCATGTTGTTGATTAATCTATTCCCAAAGTAATTAAAAGGAATAAAGAAGAGAATAAAAGGAAGAGGAATGAAAGCTGAAACTGATGAAAGATTAAACCAGTTAAGAGACAAAATTTTGTAGCTAATTTAATTAATGACATTTTTTTGTTATAAAATTTACAAATTCCATCACTAAATTTCATCGTTAATTTCCTTTTTTTTTTTTTGGGTAGTATAGCACTAGGAGATTCAAATTCATCGCTAAAGATACAACACATTTTGATAGAGAGTTTTAATAATAATAACAACAACAACAACAATAATAGAAGATAAGATTTGTTACCTTCTTTAACAATTCTCTCTTCTTCTTGACGAATACGTTTCAATTTCATGGATTGTTGTTCAGCTTGCAGTGAAAATTTCTGATTTTCGTAAGCTTTAATTTGTGAACGAAGATTAATAACATGAATCTGCAAAAGGATTCAAAATATATTAGACATGTTACAATATTTAACAAGTGTGAATCAATTGTAGAAAATTAATTTAGGACAAAAACGCCATTCCAAGGAGCAATTGCGGTTACAATTTTGCATTCTCTTTATTTAAGATAAGAAAATGATTCACTTTGAATAAATATTTTCCATTCACTCGATCCAAGCTGCTTTTATTTATTCTTTTATATTGAAAATAAAATATTATTTTCGACAGATTTAAATTGTCCAATTAAATCAACCGAACAGTGCTAATTATTTGATCAAAATAATAACAATTTTCTCGAGCAAGATTGACAAGATCTTGAAGCAAAATTCATCTATAAAGATCTTGCTTCCTCTTCCAATTCAGCCACATACTGGGCTCTCTTGACTCTAAATTTCTGTGAATAATCTCGATTCGCTATGAGCCTGTTATGCAAGAAAAGATAAGAGATTTAAAATCCTCAAACAAGTTTGATATCATATTGCATGTAACTTCTTCTTTTTTTTGGCATGATTATTCTCAATCAAAATTCAAAACCAAAATCTCAGCTACAAATTGAGCCAAATGGTATATATATTTCAAGCAATTATCAAAATCAAAATAAACTTTTCATTTGGGGTGTTGAAAAATAATGGGGGGGGGAAAAAAGAACATATACTCTTTGAGCTTCTTAGGATCTTTGTCTGGATGAAACTTCTGATCTGGTGAAAATTGATCTGCTTCAGCTTCATGAATTCTGGGGATTTTGTTCTTATTACTTGCTGTAGCACTAGAAGAACCACCCACATCCACCATGCCTCTCTTTCTGGTACCTTCCATTGCCCCTTCCCTGATCTAATCACGCTCTTCACTCTTTACTAAAATGTGTGTGTGTTAGACTTCATAAGAAAATTTATTTGCATTTATTATGAAAAATTATTTGATGAAAAATGGACTTTCAAAATGAGAAACTACTTTGAGCGGGTAAAACTCAGATTTGTGTTTGTGTTCACACAAAAAGTATTCACTTGTATTTGTGCGTGTGAGGTCATGTGCACGTGTATGTTTAAATTCAAAGATAAAATTGTATTTTTCTCAATTCTGAATTGATCACTTATTTCGATGCACCAGTGGTATGTTTCACGTGACTTTTCAAAGATATATTTTTTTTTTTAAAAAAAACTATAACCCTTTATTTGAGTGAATTGGAGAGGAATTAGGCACCAATTCAACATATTTAAAAAATTTGAGATGTTTTATTTCCTCTACTTGAAGGCAAACTTCTTCTATTCATATTTACTTTTTTACCTTGTAAATTAATTAAGGTGGCATCCTGTATATTGTATAGAGTTTGAGAAATTAGTTATATCACGCATGACAAGGAATTACCACTGCTTAGCTTTTAAGTCGCCTCTGACCATCAAATAAAATGTGAATACTTAGTTGACATTCATAAAAAGTATCTAATAAATTATGGGGAAGGAAGGTACGAGGGATGGAGACTTGGATAAGCAAATAAGACGAAAGATTAAACAAATAAAAGGTGAGAGAATCCATCAAGTTCTTTAATCCATTAAAAGACTAAGAGGAAGTATTTAGAAAACCACTTTTTTATGCATATGATTTTTGAAGTTGAAACTTGTGATTCTTTAGAGAAATTCGATGGCTCTACCCATCTCTTGACAAAATCATTTTACTTATAATCTCTATCAATAAAATATAAAAGATAAAGATATCAAAGTTTATTAAAGAAAAGTGCAAGTATGTTAATAAGTTCGTGTGTAATCTATGGGTTCACCATGTGATTTTAACAGATAAATTAACAACATGCATGGCAATTGAATTGTTAGCTCGATTTAATTTTATAAAATATTTTGCTGCTGAAAATTTGATAATGAACTCTTTAAATTTCATTGAAAAGACTTAATTTTTTTATTTTTTTATAAATAGTTTTATACTTCATTAATCTATTATGTCATAAATGAATCATATCAGATGTCAACGATGACGATTTTTTTTTTAAAAAAATTAAGCTATATGCTAATAAATAATAATCCTTTGAACTTGTGGTCAAAAAATGTTTGACCTTTTTTTCGACAGGAAAAAAATATGTGAACTTTGCACCATATATTGATGATATATATGCAAATAACTTTGATTTACGGATGTTGGCCCCAAAAAAAGTTCAATATAATGAACTAACTGGAGCGAATTATAATGCATAATGCACAGATATGAAAGTTAAAAAAAACAATAATTGACACATTTTAAAAATTGAAAAATATAAATAATAATTGACACATAGTTAAAAAAAGTTCATAAGCCTCTTAAATTTACAATATAATTGACCATTTAATAAAAGTGATTCGATTCTACCAATTTTGGCTGAGCAGTGGGGTCTCACATCACAAAAGAAATTGGTTGCTTACCTCATTTTATTGTTCATTTGACATATATATTAACGAAATTGTAAAGAGCAGCATAAACTGAATAGTGCACATATTATTGACAAAGGGGCCACGCGGCCACGAATTACAACCACTACAAGTAATAGACCCAGTCACTCCTATTTATAGACTACAGGGCCCAACTTAACTGGCTCAAGCCCCCTTACATAACTTGACACCTCTTAACACTCCTCCTCAAGTTTGGAGTGCAAAAAGATTTACAACACTTAACTTGCACAGAATTCTATTATGATCCTGCTTACCCATACCCTTAGTGAAGATATCACCTTGCTGCTCTTTGCTTCTTACATGATTCAAACTTATAATTCCTTGCTGTAATTTCTCTCTAACAAAATGAACGTCTATCTCTATATGCTTTGTTCTCTCATGATACACAGGATTATTTGCAATACATATTGTTGATTTACTATCACAATAAACACGTACAAATTTCAAATCATTCATTCTAAGGTCTTCCAGCAGCCATTTGATCCATACAACCTCGAATACAACATTGCTTAATGCTCTGTATTCTACTTTTGCAGATGATTTAGAGACTATATTATGCTTCTTTGACTTTCAGGATATTGGCGAGCCACCAAACTTGACTACATATCCAGTCACAGATCTCTTAGCGTCTAGGCATGTTCCCCAATCTGCATCCACAAAGCACTCTAGTTGGGCATTCTGTGTTGCTGCGAGTCTGATTCTAAGTCCTAGACAGCCTTTCAAGTATCTGACTACTCTTGTTGCTACCGTATAATGTGATCTCCTCAGTTCATTCATGAATTGACTGAGTGCCTGCACAACAAAGCTTATATCATGCCTAGTCACAGTGAGATATGACAGCTTACCCATCAAGTGCCTGTACATGCTTGGATCTGAGATCAAAGCATCCTTTTCCGGATTTCTTGGCTTGCTACTCAATCTTACATTCTGTTCCATAGGTATACCAAGTGGCTTTGCTGCAGTCAAACCCATGTCAGTCAATATGTCTAAAGTATATTTTCTTTGATTAAGTATTATCCCATGCCTTAATCTAGCTACTTCTATTCCTAAGAAATACTTAGCTAACCTAAATCCTTAATTTTAAACCTGTTATGGAAAAATTGTTTTACTTCATCAATCTTATTTGCTTGATTTCCTATGATAACAAGATCATCCACATGAACTAAGATTAAGGTTATTTTAGAGTCAGTTTGCCTAACAAACAATAAGCAATCATACATACTTTGCCTAAAACCAGCTTGTATGAGAGCTTCACTAAGCTTAGCATTCTATTGCCTAGAAGCTTGCTTTAAACTGTATAGGGACTTGGTCAATTTGCAAACCTTATTTTTTCCATATTGACCAAATCCTTGAGGAACTCTCATGTAAACCTCTTCCCTCAAGTCACCTTAAAGAAAGGCATTATAAACATCTATTTGATAAAGATTCCAGCCATGTATCACAGTAATATTGGGAACAATTCGAACTGCAACCATTTTTATCACAGGTGAAAAAGTTTCAAACTAGTCAACTCCTTCTTGTTGACTATATCCCTTAGCAACTAATCATGCTTTAAACCTATCTATCTCACTATTGGAATTGTATTTTACCTTATAGACCCACCTGCAACCAATGGGTCTCTTTCCTTTGGGCAGATTGACAATTTCCCAGTACCATTGTCTTGCAAGGCCTTTATTTCTGCCTTTATTGCATCAATCCACCTAGGATCCTTAGCGGCTTGCTCATAGCTAGATGGTTTTGTAATGCTATCAAGACTAGATAAAACATGCTTATATTCTTGTGATATATTTGAATAAGATAAGTATGATTGCATTGGATACCTTACTGGTTTTACCTTTGTCATCAACATGTGGTCTGCATCCAAAACACAAGCATAACCTACCATTGACTTAAAGGTTGTGTTTGTATGACACACATAGTCTTTCATCCAGGTGGGTTTCCTTTTCTCATGGTCTGGTCTAGTTGGTAATAGAGGAGCTTCTACATCTATTGGATCTCCAGCCTCGTTGAATGGTCCTTGATGGTTATCATGATTGTTAGATCTAACTAATGGTAGAGGTATTGGTTCAGGATCATAAATGTGATTTGTGCTACTAAAGGGATCAATCACTTAAGTATCACTGTCTCCCCCTTGATTTTGAGGCCCACTACATCGTTAAAAGGAAACCTAGATTCTTCAAAGATAACATCTCTACTAACATGGACTGTTTTGGATTGATAGTTATATAGTAAGCAACCATTTTGATTAGGTGGGTACCCAATAAAAACACAAGGTTCAAAATAGAGCTGAAATTTATCATGATGATGTAGAATGGTAGCAAAAGCAAGGCAACCAAAGACCCTTAAGGTGCACAAATCAGGTTGATGGTGGTACAGAACTTCATAGGGAGTTTTGTTGGCTAAAACTAAAGAAGGAGTCCTATTAATCAAGTAGGTGGTCGTACGTCTAGCTTTCCCCCAAAATTTTAAAGGAACATGAGACTGAAAAATAAGACTCCTAGCAACCTCTAAGAAATGTTGATGTTTTCTTTCAACCACCCCATTTTGTTGTGGTGTATAAGGAAATGAAGTCTCATGTACTATTTCTTTACTAGTGAGATGTGATTTCAATTCAGCATTAAGAAATTCTAAACCATTAGTGATTCTAACTTTCTTGACAACAAAGGAGAATTGAGTAGCAACATAAAGCAAGAAAGTCTTCAAATTGTAAATGGCTTCATTTTTATTGATCATAAGAAAAGTCCAAGTACAACGAGAGAAATCATCAACAACAGTCAAAAAATATCAATGTCCTCTATAATTGGGAACCCTATAGGGTCCCTAAACATCTACATTAATCAATTCAAAACTGCTGTGTGTTTTAGAAGTACTAGAAGGGAAAGGTAACTGGGTTTGTTTAGCATGAGAGCAAACAATACATTTCTCATTAGTAACAATAGGAATTTCTATTTGAATTGAGTCTAGATATCTGAGTTTGCTCATGGGACTATTATGCCAAGTGACTTGTTTAGAAGAGACATGCATCACATTGTCCATCTTGTTAACTTTCTCAATGATAGAGACCACCATAAAGGCTACCAATCCTCCTTGTTTTCCCAATTGATATATCTTGCATTGTACAATAATCAAAGTAAAAGGAAGCTACAAATTCCTTACTGGCTGTCAATTTAGATATAGAAATGAGGTTATAACAACAGCCAATAGCATAATAAACATCCTTTAGGATAATGGTATCAAGTATTTTAATAGTGCCTACGCGGGTGATCAACATCCTATCACCATTAGGGACCTTAATTACTCTAATAGGACTTGAATATTTGTCTACTGTATTAAACATGCTCAAACTATTTACAACATGACATGTTACCCTAGAGTCAAGAATCCAATTAGATTCACAGAATGACTTAGGGACAGCGAGAACAATACCTGAGATAGTCTCCTCCAAATAGTTAGTTGTTCCAATGGCTATGTCATCTAGCTCCTTTCACAGAAGCTTCAATATTTGATCATATCGGTCTTAAGTGAGGAGCATCTGACTTGATTGAGGAGAAGGCGAAGACGAGGTGGTGGTAAGATGAATAGCAGTAGGATTCTGAGCCTGTTTCGATCAAAGATTTGTGGGAAAACCGACCAATTCATAACAATTTTCCCTTTTGTGGCCTCTTCGATGATAGTAGGAACACTCTTCAAGGGATCTTCCTCTTTCTTGTCCTCAACCCCTGCCTTGTCTTCTACCATGAGCTACCATGGTTTCGTTGTCAAAGGAGGAGTTATTGGTATGGGTAGAAATATATTGTTGGGACTCATCCTGACATATCATAGAGTAGGCCTGGCTAACTGTGGGAAGTGGTGATCGAAGGAGGAGCTATGTTTGGGCCTGATGGAAATTGTCATTTAGTCTTATCAAGAATTGAAATAATCGTTGTTATTGGACTGTCTTGGTGTATTCTTGGGTGGTATTGCATTGACAGGTAGGCAGAGGCATGATAGCAGCATACTCATCCCAGAGATCCTTAAGCTAGGTATAGTATTCAGATACACTTACAGTGCCTTGGGTCATGGAATTGATTTTCTTGTATAAGGCAAAGATGCGCATACCGTCGGCCTTGTGGAAGCGATCCTTTAAGTCTAACCATACCAATCTTGCACTGTTGAAGAAGATTATACTGGTGGCTATTTGCTTGTCCTTCGAATTCACAAGCCAAAATAGGATGATAGCATTGCACCAATCCTAAAGAACTCAAAGATTTGCATCCTGTTTCTCTCAAGTACACGTTCTATCAATGAATTCCATTTTATTCTTGGCAAGAAGGGAAAGTTTAACTGATCCACTCCATACTTCATAGTTGTCGGCTTCCCGTAGCACTTGAGATACCAAGGTCACGGATTGGGTGTCAGACGAATGAAGATACAAGGGATGGGTGAAGTCTACAAGTGTGTGCATGTTTGCCGTTGTATCATCTTCTTTACCCATAGCAACTTAATAGACTTTGGGATCGACAAGGTGGTTGTTCAAGATGAAGGAAAACAAGAGCCAATAGCACAAGAACGGTTCTTTTATCAAACAAATTCTGAGGAGATACCAGTGACGATGAAGGCAACGATCTTGAGGTAGGAATTACAAGAACAACAGCTGACAGATACTCGAAGCAACAGTGACTACTCAAACGAATTGCAACTAGGGCTACAAATAACACAGCAAATGGGCACAGTGACTGAACTTCACGACGACGTTGTCACAGACACCAGTATTCTGTGGACTGATTAAGGTGTCTTCAGGAATTGGGCTTCTTACTTCTAAGCCTATACGAACCCGCTCTGGTACCATGTAAAGAGTAACATAAACTAAATACTACACATATAATTAACAAAGGGGCCACACAGCCATGAAATACAACCACTACAAGTAATAGACCCAGTCACTCCTATTTATAAACTACACGGCCCAACGTTTTGACACCTCTTAACAGAAATGTTTGAGTGAGATTTTTAAAAGTGATTTTATAGAGTTTGACAAAAGTAAATATGTAACATGAGTTTAGTCTTGATTTGTGTAAAAATATTTCTTTTAAGTTAGCTTCCAAACACCTTGATGCATTTGTGAAAAACACTTTTTCAATTCAAAACGGATCTCTTTTAAGTTTATAAATCGTTTCAATTTTTCTATAGGCACATGTATTTTTATTTATTGGAGGCAATGTTATTCTAAACTCCATCAAACACTAAAATGCAGTAATTCTCATAGAGAAAATTCATGTTCCAACCTCTCAAGTCAAAAGGTTCTAGAATGTAGAAAATGTCATTCATATTCCAAGAAGTCGTGAAATTTTTAATTACAAATAATGGGTACGATGTATTTTAAAGTTTAATTTGATTCAAACTTGATTGCCTAGAAAATATAAACCTAAAGACTCAAAATACATAGTTAATGCTAACCTAGGAAAACCACAATGACTTGAAATACAAAGATTCAATGAACATGGAAAATTCAAAGGTCAAATGTGTCAACTAAATTCTAATTTTTGTCCATATAATGAGCTAAATTTAATCATCATAGTAAGCTCAAAATGAGTCTTCCAAGTCATGATACTTTTGTCCAAACTCTAATTCGAAGTGTAAAAGCCTTAAACTCTTTAATCACCTCTTGAATGCAACGTTGTTTTGAAAATCCAATCTCTAAAGTAAAAAATCTTTCATTTATTTCCATTAAAGCTAGCGCTTTGTTGCATATAAGGAAAATCAAGCAAACTGTTGCAAATGATTTATGAAAAATCTCAAAAAGATAATTCGGAGCAATAGGATAAATGTCTCCCTATTATATATAAATCCCATGTTCGTCCATTGCTTAGGCACAATTGTCCTATTAACAATATTTCCCACTTTGTTTTATTAGTTTGTGATGGGTAGGTGGTATGAAGTATCCCAAAGTTGCTTCACGAGTACTCTAGACATTGTTTAGAAACACAGTTTCT